ATTAGTAGGGCTGTGACTTTAACTGTGACTGTGTACTAATTTCAGACTGGGGATGGTGTATATATATATATATACATATATATACATATACATATATATACATATACATATACATATATATACATATACATATATATACATATACATATATATACATATATACATATATATACATACATATATACATATACATATATATACATATACATATATACATATATATATGTATATATGCATATATATATATATATATAGAGAGAGAGAGAGAGAGAGTCAAGTATAATAAAAAGTATAGTCATTTAATCTCAAAGTACTCTAACATATAGTGTATATTTAAAAGTTGTACATTAGTAAATATATATTTATGGTTTTCAATGAAGCTAGATCATTTGTGCCTGGTCATTTTTAAAAGTAGCTCAAAATCTCCAATCACACTAGAACGAACTACGAATAAGTGGAAGTTTATACACATGCTTTAGATGTTTCTTTATAAAAATCAATGTGTGATGTCATGAGAAAAATTGTATATACCCACTTTTTGTGTGATAGTTCTGTAGTTAAATGTCTTTAAATTGACTTTGCTTCTCCTTTGCATTCTGGTCTTTTTATTCAATCTGCATATAACACCAAAGACATCAGTTTCCTGAATCACCACTTTGGTGTCAGTGTTAAGTTCTGCTGAATCAATACAAATGCAGGCCAACCATTTCGTCCTCCCTTCCACTGTGACCTAATAATAAGCCCTTAGAGTAAAGACCAAAAACATTAACTATAAAATGGACAGAACAGCATTGTCAGAGGTCACTCAAATTTTAGTCAGCTGTTAGCAGATTTGTTTGTGTTTTCATTGTATTAGGGGAAAAAAAATGAACACTGAAAATCCTACAATATATTTTTTCAACCACATAAACAGTCTGCATTTAACACAACAAAAACGAATTCTATTTATTTTATAATATAATAATATAATGCTGTGTATTGAATATAATTTTACTTTTTTTACCAGACATGTGATACATTTAAATATAACATATATATGTTTAATCGTGACCACTAATAAGAGCATCTGTTAATTATGCTCTCAATTTTCTTTTTTTTTTTTTACTATGTCATTTATTGTGTCATTTTTGTCTTTGAATAAATGCATAGAATTTCGACTGAAATTGTACATTCAGTCAACTTATAACTTCTTGGAAAAACTTTATTTTTATAACAAACAACTTGCCTGGAAATTAGACTTTCAGATTTATAACAGATTATTTGAAAATATTCCCCAAAATATATTTTTTTGATGAATTACCAATGTGTTCCACCTATGTCTTGTTATTCGATCCATGTTTTTCCTACCCTCAGGGTAGTTTTTTTTTTTTATCTTGAGGTCCAGGTAGCATCATTCTGTCCAGTAATGGACAGCCCCCTGATACTGTTTAACAGAGGGCTGAAATGCAACGAGCACAAAGAGTACTGTACTGTATGAGTCTTGATGCCTACAGTACAATGGCATTTTACTCTTCATTCTGTGTTCAGTTCTCACAAGTGAATTGTATTCAGTACAATACCATTTTTTGTCATATAGCGTATCCAGACTTTATGTCATTTTTAACCTAATAAAACAGACAAATACTAGCCATTTTATACTTTAATTTATATTTTTCATAACATATTAGTCATAACAAGTGATGATGTCTAGTAGACTTGAAAATAAAAGAGAAAGTGAAACCTTCCACACCCAAGTGCATTTCCGTAAACCATCAAGCCACCAGTGCCTCCCTCTGATCACATGGTGTCACTGCTCTCTTCTGGTCAGGCCACCGATGGTCACGTGACATTTATGTGACTAACCGATTCTCAATAGATTGTGTGAGTATCGGTACCCGGTTTATACTTGCAAGAATGCATATTTGGATAAAATGGAATGGCTACTCCTTTCACTAGTTCTCACTGTAGTCAACCAATGAAGCCAACCGACTCCGATTCTGTTGGCTGTTTTCTGTGATAAATAAAACAACAGGAGGAACAGAACCAGTTCAGGATCCAAGAGTACAAATTTGTTATTAAAAAACTCCCATCACCTCTCCTCCAAGCAGAAACAATTCTTCTGCATTTCATTATCAGAGTAGAGGCTTAGGGGACAACAAATCCCCCATTCCTTGAATTTGTTCTTCCATACCTCTCCTGCCTTGCTCTCACTCATGTGACGTCATGTCACTAGAATGGCAGTGACCTCTGTCTTCCACTGTAACAGATTGAATAGCCCTATGAGTATCCCCGTTCTGAGGTCAACTGATGGCTGACCGCCATTGGTCTCCTGCTATCTCTAACCAACAAGCTTTTCTCAGGGGACATGCTTCCCCAATAGCTGTGTAAGTAACATTCAGCTGTGTTAACCCGTTTGAAGCTTAAAGTCATAAACACCTCATCTGTCAGACTGAAACTTCCCCCCTCCATGGACGACAACCCAACCTCCCATGCCTCTGCTGAGTGCCTGTGTAGCTGTCACCGCCCATGTCTTCTTCTCTTTGGCCTCCTGTCAATCTTCCCCGCCGGATTCGATCTCCACTGTTTGTATGACCGTTGATGTGGCCCTAGGTTTCAATACCTTGAGGACTAGGAGGAGGATAGCTGATAGGGACATTCTTGGATGCCCTGGTGCCACATCCTGGACCAGGCGCGGACAAAATATTTGGACTCACCGGCCACAATTGTCCTAAAATTGAACAGGGGAGCCCACACCTGACCTGCACCCTATCGTATTCATGAATTTTACAAGGATTTTCCTGGCAAGCCCAGGGCATCAGGAACATCTCTAATTACAGTGGGGCTTCAAGATATGAGCTATCCGAAATACGAGTTTTCCAAGTTACGAGTAAGCAACTTTTGTAAGATTTACTTACCAAAAATCTTACGAAGAAAAATCGAAGTACGAGTGCTCAATTTAGCTCCAGTTTTTGCGCTCACTGTCCCTCGCTGGGTTATTTTACCAATTGCTTTGTTTCTCTCTTTCCC